CCCCCCCCCAAATCCCACCAGCCCCCCACTACCTTATAAAAAATGAACGGTCCCTAAAGCCAAAAATTTCAAAATTTGAAAAGCATGCCTGTCAAAATACGTTTGCCATGGAAATGTCAAGATCTTGGAACAAAAACGTTTCCAAATAAATGTGAGGAAATTTACAACAATTGGGGTTCATAGCTTTGATGCCTCAGCTAAATGTATAACCGATCAAGTTGGCGTGGACTTGAAAAGCCTTTCTCGAACTCAATAATAATTCATCAAGTTAAAACAAAGAAAATCACAACCGTGAAGGATGTTTGGATACCCGATCTTAATTAGCATAGATTTTGACGATTTTACTTCTCCGTTTACTCCTTATCTTTTGTTTTGATTGAGAAGATGTATCAAACATCAAACACTCGAGACAGTGTTTCATCGGCTTTCCAAATAGCTTGAATTTCGTCAAAAATACTCCGCTGCGCGTCGTACTTTCAACTCTCTTCTCGGTGTTTGGATATCCCGATGAAACAGTCTCTCGTGTTTGATATATTAACTCCCGTCCGTGTCCAGATGTATAAAGAAGCTGTATGCTATCAGTTTGTTTATAGAGATTAGATTCAGTTTGTTGGTTGAGATTAAATTCAGTTAAAACTCTTTGTAGAAAATATTACATCATCGATAGAGACAAAGACAATGTTGCAAACAAATTTACCAATATTTAATGGTTTCATTAAATACTTTAATGTAAAATATTAATAACAGTAATAATATTTACAACTTGGACTGAAACCTGTAAACATAGAAAACCAATCACTCCTCATTCAAATAACTTAAAAACAGTCACCTCCTCAACTGGAATTTGGAGACATTTTGCGTCTCTTATAAGAAAATAGCCGCTCAAGAAAAATAAAATTAAACATCAATAAAAAGGAAATATTTTTTTTCAAGGAAGAAAGGAATCCTTGTATTGTTCCTATAACTTAGGATTTCATCACACACAGTTTTTCTGCAAAGAGGCGAGATGAAATTGATTACGATGAAAAGGAACAGCTTGACGTATGCTACTTACTCGTAACACACTTACGTAGTTGATATTTCGAAAGTTTAACAAAACCTTGCTTGCCAGCGTAAAGACTTCTCATACCATAAAAAAATCTTAAATTACTCTCCCTTTTGCCTTATTAAAGGCAGAAAACTGTTATGAGTTCGGCAGTTTATTCCGCAGGAAATTTCTATTTCAAGAACCGTTAAGAACTATTTTTAAAAACAAAGATCTCCACAGTTCTCGGCGTTTTTTCAACAGGATATGGATGCCCACGTCTGACCCAAATTTGCCTCATTTTTTTTTATTGAGCAGCTCTTATCCGAACCTTGCGTTCGTTCGTCCGTGCTTTCATTGTTGTATTTGCATCGGTATTGTACCAAAGCCATCAATAATAACCCGACCCTACCAGACAAAACAAACAAAAAATATCAGTCAACATTCAGGCAATGCGAACACGGTTGAATAACTTTATTCGCTTTCGTCGTGGAGGAGTTCTGAGAATCCCTCAAGCCTCAGTGTGATTTTCTTCACAGTTGTAGTGCGTTGCATAGCGTGTACAAAAGTAAACTTTTCCTGAAGTTACAATTTTAGTGCAATATAATTCAAATATATTTATAATCAGTTAAACGAACATTGTAATATAACGTCAACTAGGGTTGCGATGTGATAATGACGATGATCATGATAATGAGGAAGACTATGACAATATCGTTGATAACGAAGGCAACGCAGTCAGTATAAATAATACTGCTATCAAACAATTCTTTTTTGCGTGTTACAAAACAGTCAAATCTACATTACAAACACCGAAGACGGTAAACAAAGTTTCTGGAGAAAACACATTTAGGACTGAATGTTACAATGCACAACAATGCCACAGATGTAACATACGGAGAGAAGATGTACCTAACAAAGATGGCGTGACTTAGTCACTCATGTACCTCGCCCATTTTTGATTTTGCGTATTCTATCCTTATGCCACCCTTTTCAGCTGAGGACTGCAGGTTCCGGCTACAAAATGCAAAGGAAATTCATGTCAAATGAATTATCTCTGAAATATTCTTTGTAGCTAAGTTATTCGGTACACCCATTAGTCAGTGAAGAATTGGCCGGAGTTTTGGTCTTGTCAAACTGAATAATAATATGCAGAGTAACAAGACATGTATTAGAAAATATAATCACTTAAACAGAGGGGATTCATGTCAAAGAAATTTGATTATCTCACTGAATTATGTTTTGTGGCCATATTATCCTGTACACTAACTGGTCACTGAAGACCTGGTTTTAATTTACGTGTTTATTCGACTGAGATAATAACATGCAAAAGTAACACGCTAAGACTTTTTTTTAAATTACTTACCCTCGAAGATTGTGCATTGCGTTAGTCGCCGTAAAAACATCCTGTAAAAAAGAAACAACACCAAGAAAGATCTATGATCTCGAGGCCAGCTTATAAACATTAATAAAATATTTTCCACGTTGATTAGCCAATTGGTGCTCGATAACTCATAACATATACTGAGCACCAATAGCAAAGCAATTAAGTACCAGATATTCCACGAAACAGACGGGACTGCTTCCTTTACTGTGCATTTTTAGCCGTCGAAAGCCTGGTAACCTGCAAAAAATATAAAATGGGAGATAAGTTAATATACTACCAATTAACCATCAAGCTTAAACAATATTTCTGAACCCCTCAATCAAAACATTCTTTCAATGAAGATTGCCTCATTTTTTGCCATTCGTTAAAAGGTGTCCCTAATTGAAGAGAAGGAGTCCAGGGATTCCCTTTCACCCTTTGTACTTGACTACACGAATAGCGTTATACAACTCAAACAACAGAAAACTGACTCTGGAAATAAGAACCGACTGGTAATGAGAAATGACTGGGCTACATAAAACTCTTTTTCCGACAGAACGAAGGTCATTGTCGTCTCTTATCATCGTGTTGAAACTCGGGTCCCCAGGGTCACAAATACCTACGAAACGCGGCCACAGACAATCACATGACCTACTCTGCAAATAGATCCCTGAGTTCTTGTTCAGAGCTTCCTTTCCCAAGGTTGGCTACGAAGAGCGTCGTGCATGGCGGGTTTCCCAGGTTCGCCATGTGGTGAAGCGCTGTCGGTGATGCTAAAGCCGGGATTATGGGATGATGATGTTGAGGGAAAGCCTGCAAAGGATAAATTATGCAGAGATAATTAGCAAATTTAATTTTGAGAGTCCGTGCACTGATTATAGAAAACAGAATTCTTGACTAGTTAGATCTTTCTTATTACGTAAAACGTTCAGGTGAACATTTTATAGAATTGTTTCCCACATCATTTCAACCTTCCTAATTTGATCACCATGTTGAACGTTTTTACAATTGTAACGCTTTTTAGAATGTAGGCTTTAGTTTGAGTGATTGAAAAAGCGTTACAAAAAACATCTCCCATTTTAGTGTTAATTCGAAAATCTCCGAATTTGTGTTCCACGTACTCTACAAACTAGTGGTTATCAGTTGTTCTAATGAGCAATTTAATACTTATTATTTTTGTAGCTGAAAGAGTAAAAGCTAGACCTCGTCTACACTACGCAGGAGAAATTTAAAAACGCAACGATCACCCGTCATTTTGGATTTGCGTTTGAGCCGGAAAACTCAAGCAGGGAAATCACATGTTTATCCGAGGTGACGTCGTCGTTTTCGAGAAGCTCCATTTTCAAATTGTTTTCCGCCCACACTAAAAGGACCCAAAGCCGGCGTTTTCAAATTCCTCCGGTTTGAGAAGGGTTCTCGAAAAGCTCCGTTTTCGTAACGGATTAATATGGACGGTAGGCCTAACTGTAGAAATTAATAAAGCTGCGTTTTCAAATTTCTCCGGCGTATTGTGGACGAGGCCTAACGGCTTACTTGCAACTGTAGAATACTTGTAGGATGATGGTTAAACGCCGTGTGTTGAGCTGTTGCTGCTGCTGTCATGATGTCATTAAATATGGGACTGTTAGGAAAGACAAAAACACAAACATTTTATCAGAACACTAAAGCTATGAATGATTATATCTCATTACAACGAATCTGATCACTTAAGTTATTGTGCTCCACGCTAATACGAGCGCTAAAATAGAAAGCTTTACATAATCTGTTATTTCACATTTTTTTTGGTGGGCTGCACCTATGTGCTTCCTATCCTATCCTATCGCGTGCACTTACTATGTACTCGTAACACTGCACTCGTTTATCATCACCAGTGTTAACAGTTTTTAAGAGTTTCTTGAGACGTTTTCTGTCGTTCGGAATTGGATCTCCTTGTGACAGCTGCATTTCGTTCTTTTGAATGAATGATTTTATATTTTGTGGCACTAATCCTTCAGGCATTATTTAGAAATCATCTCATGTAAGGGGCAAATTTTACTTACGCAGGGTAGGCTAAGTTTGGTTCTGGGGTAGGCAGAAATCCAGCTGCAGCGAGGTCTGTATGTACTAAAGAAAACAAAGAAAACAATGGTTAAATAAGTTTCAGCTTCCTACTCAAGCCCGTTTTCAAGTTGCATTTCAGTCTATTTCTACCACTAACGAAAAATTCGACTGAACCACAGGCAAGCAAAAAAAGAAACATCTCTGTCACTAAATCGAGAAGAAAATCGTTTTCATAGTAATCTGAAAGAACAAAACTGCTTAAGTTATTTCAGGAGACTATCTATATCACATTTTCAATTTAGTTTGCCATTCCTAAGCCTTTCCTAATAATAGCGTTTGAGTACACTGTTAGAAGCGGACTCAGTTTTCACCGTTTCAGTTTCAAACTTTCACTCCGCTTACTCTTGTTATCTTAGCTCTTGGTGAAATCGGACGCACAGACCTACTGAAAGGACACACTCTAAAAATTATAGAAATTCATCTATTAATTAACAAGGGCATGGTTAAAATACGAACACATGAAACAGAAGTGAAAAGGGAAAACTGACTTCAATTTGAATACTCAATAACGTCAAGGAATAGTTAATAGGGAATAAATAAAACCTCCGAGCCTTACTTAATATATCACGTTCTAAGTACTTACTGAGCTGGGGCTCCCGGGGATAAAAGGTAGGAGCAGAGGTCAATACGGCTTGCTTATTCACCGGTTTGGATACTTTGGTATTGGAACGAGCGAACTCCAAACGAAGCGTCTGGGAGACATCAGGATCGAATCGCACACCCTGTAGAAAGGAGTTATCAAAGAAAATCTTTTTTACATAATGCTCTCCTTAAAGTGATATCGCGTATAAATTGCACGGCCGTACGTAATCACCACAAGAAAATAGTACAAAATTTCCTATTGAGCGTGTATACATGCACAGCTGTAAATCAACGTTCATTAATGAAGTGTTCACTAATCTTGGAAACAATAACATCAAAAGCAACTGCATATACGTAACCGTTACCACAATTAAGTTTCAAAATTGATCAGTATTAAGTTTTCGGAACAGAGAGGCTATCTCACAGAAATCGAGAATTTATCGAGGCTTGGATCTGCGCTGGGATCCTAGTTTTAATGTACGAATGCTGAAATCAATATACTCAAGTCATTTTCGCACCTGTAAAGCGGCTTTGGCTTCTTCAGCTTCCTCTCTGCTTTCAAATGTGACAAATGCTACAGGCTGAAATCAAAATAGTGGATTTGTTTGTCTGTTGAGGTACCACCATGGTTAAAAAAATAACCAATTCATCAATTTAACACAACTGGCCGAAGACCAGCGATATTACGGTTCATTTAAGGCCATGTTTACCACAGTTTGCCACGTACTGAACAAAATTTCAAAGTACGGAATGACCGCAAATTAACATTGATTTTGAATGTGATCATTATGATAAACATTATGACACTGATAATTCTAATGATGGATTTAAATAAACGGCATTATTGTGGTAATGAACAAAGGGATGGCGCTGATGTTCAGTTTCTCACATCGTCAATTCTTCGAACATAAAATTACGTTTTCAGACTCAAAAGCAAGTACACACAGGAGCCATACTCGATTATGGCTCCTGGTATACTTCATAACTTTGCTATTCTTGCGCTATTTTACTTTTGGATCAACAAGGTTTAGCAGTTATCACCAGGCCAACTACTTTCATGTAAGGTTTTGATCATATCATATCGGAGGACGTTTCAGTTCTTATCAGGTGATAATGGTGGTGATGATGATTATAATGATGATTATTTTGATTATTATACATTGTAGTCACCATCTGTCTTCTCATTGGCTAAAAGCCTACAATTAATTTTGGGAAACAGCGCAACCTACAGATTATTCACTAATCTGCTAGCAGATTGGTGAATAATCCGTAGGTTGCGTGCGCAATGCATGATTTCCAAGAGCAGCGTCAAGTTCACGTAAGAACATGGCTTTTCGAAAATAAACTGTGTTCGGTGCGATAATGCGTTTGTCGTTATTTTCTTTAAAACAATGTATAACAAATTAATTATGAGATTCGGTTTTTGTGATATCCGGAATAATCAAGGTCTCGGTTAGTGTTATCAGCCTCAGCGTTCGGCTTCGGCTGATAACACTTACCTCGACCTTGATTATTCCGGATATCACAAAAACCTCATCCAATCATTAACAGTTACTCACCAAGGTGGAGGTAAATAGTGGTGGATATCTACCGAGACGCGAAGCGGCGAGGTTAATGTCCATCACTTTCACCGACACTGAGTGAATAATTGTTTTAGTATATACCACACAAGCTGAATAATTAGCGGACCATAACGTTATTTTATGTGTGACAAGCGGTCGGAAATTTCAAAATCTCTCGCGCCGGCTGCTCGGAGGTGAATAATACTTGCTAATCACCTCCGAAAAGCACTATTCACTTGTGTGGTATATACTAATTGTTTATAATGATGATTATAACAATGATGACAGTGACAGCAGCGGTCGATTGGAAGTGTTGGTAATGTTGGCAGCGGTGATAATGATGATGATGATGACGATTACAGTGCTGGCGATGATGACGTCGATGATAACGATGATGATACCTCTATAAATGCAGCTGTAGATGACGACACTTGACGATAACCATGGCAATATAAGTTGACTGAATTATGTAAATTCCGCACGGAGTGGAAGGCAGAATTCCTTATACTATCAGAAGGTGGCTTTAGAGACTTGAAATCAAAATCAGGCACGATATAACTGTCGGTGAAAACTCTCTTGAAAAGCAATGACTACAACACTTACCGAAGGCTTGCCCTGTTTCAAGGAGATAAGAACAGGAAAACTGTGTCATAATTAGTGCAGTTGAAATCAATCGTTACAGGGAAATCTACTGTCACGGAAAATGTATTGGACAGTTAAGAAACGTATCTTGAATGGTACGAGAAACATAACAGGAAATTGAGTGGAAACAATTCTTCCAATCTTGTTCCACATGATCCATTCACAATTGACTGACTTAGTTTAGACGAGACAAAAAAAAATTGCAGGAAATGAATTCAGCTATGAAGAACGAATATTTCCATCAAAAAACGGTTCAGTTCTATGCAAAACGTCTTGTAATGCCATCTTCGTTTCGCACGGCGACCTCGCAAAATAACAAAAAGAGAGCAGTTCTTGGTTGAACTTTGTTCGTGTGAAATGTCCTTTAGTGTATTTTCCTGTTCACAGCTTGGCTCAAATTATTTTGTCAAAGCACTTCTGAAAACAGCAACATTCACACTGTGCTTTCTTCGGTTTTCTTTTGATCGATTAACGTTGTTAATTACCTCCCATACAAAGAGGCAAAAAGTGTTAAACTTTGAAATGTGTTGACCAAAATCATACCCCGGTTGAAAACATTTATAATCTTAACAAAATTGTACGGTTTAAATAGGTTCTAGCAAACAGCTAAAATGAGACATTGGCAATCAGGCCTAGAAAGCAGATATTTTTAATCTTTAAAGTGCATAGAAACAACTGTAGATTACTAAAAATATAAAATATGGATTTCGTCTGTGTTTAAAAATACGCTGGAATATTTTTTCCGAGTCTCAAACAGTAATAAACTGTTAGTGCTATACTGCATTTATCTACTGAAGTCGGAGTTAATATAAGTTTATCACCATAATACTACAGATACATTATTCAACAGGATATAGCTGAACACAAAGTCAACTAATAATTACTTTTTCCTCCCTGCTAAGAAATTATTCTTACCTGTTTATCCGTAAGTTTTAGTAGTGATCCTTCGTAACCCTGGAACAATCAAAACGAAACAACTGTAGAATTTTTCAAATTGAGTTAGAATACATGGGATTTCAATGCGTAATACTCTCACGGGAGATCTTGCGCTGGCTTGCAACAGCTTGACTAAGAAAAGTTCATTCCGCTTGACAACGTGAAAATACTAAAACAACATTGAAGGTTTAATCTACAATAAATATCGCCCAAACATAACGAATCGCCATTTTCTTAAGTCTACCTTACTTTAACAAAAATCGGGACGAAAATGATATAGCCTCTTATATGAACCTCATGAAAACTGACTTCACCCGCTGAAAGGACTTATATTGGACTGCATCATCCAAGAGCTTAATATTGGTTAGATAAAGGTGTATGCAATGTTATGTTTTGTTGTTATGCAAAGAAGGCAAGTAAATCGATTGAGAAGGGAGTTGACCAGATATTTTCAAAATATGTCAGTCTGTTGTTGTTTGGCCGAGAACCGGAACGCACACCGCGCCGAGAAAAAGACACTTACAGAAACAAATAGATATCTTTTCGTGTATTCTTGATTAAAAATACTCCCAGGAAGGTTCTTGAATTCGAAAAAGAAAATAAACTGCAGCAAAAGCGACAAAATTATGGTAATGACGAATCCGCCCAAATGATTTGGTTATCGAGAAGGATATTCGACTGTATTCCACTGTTATCCCTGAGATTTTGAATTTGGCGAAAAGATAATATAAATAGTGGAGAATAAAACAGAATGATAGGTTTTGAAGTAGAAGATCGATGATCGAAAAAGAAATTGTTTTTGCCCGAGATCAGTTTAAACGTATTGTAATGTAAGCAGTGTGAGGTGAATTTGCTTCTATTTAGTTTGCAAATCATGCCCGTAAAATTAACTGTTGACAAATAGGAGCATTCCGGTTGAAGTGAATGTAGAGTATTTACGGTTTACTATTTAACGGTTTTCAAGTAACTACTCGGATTTTGAGCCAGGTGTAAACATTACTCCAAGGAACACCCATAATAGCGCTCACTAAGGCACTGAACTTAGATTGTGCTTTCAAAGCGACTACCTATCACAGATGTATCGCAAACCCGGCTTGTCTCAACTAATCACCTTCAATGCAAATATTCCCTAACCACATGTCGCGTTCAAAACTCTGTCTATTCATTTTGAACACCTAATTAGCTTCCCTTGTCCCTAATTGCTCCTGGATTCATAAGCGTAGAGAAGTGATAATTACGTACTCGTTTCATTTTACTGCGCAAAATTTGCAACCGTTTTCACTTTATAACCCCGGAAAGTCTTGGAATAAGACATCCTCCGCTTTACTTGACGGTTGTCCGTCAAATTTCAACCGTGTACATTCCTGTAAATAATAAAGAAGAGCTCATAAGCCGCTTCTTTGTTTTGTTGTTTGCATATACGATGAGTTAGCTTAACACAGTAAATCGCTTTCGTTTTTTTATAATGGCGGCACAAGGCGCATTGCAAATATTTGCAAAATGTGAGTGCCTGACTTTGAAGGAGAACCAAAGTTGAACAAACTTCTTTCAAACAATATACTTAACTCTTTTGTCAAAACCAGAGGCTCCAGATCTTACAAAAACAGTACACTGTTATTATTCAGATGAAAGCTACTCGAAGGGAAACGAACGCTTTTCAATATTCATTTGTTTTCGTCAAAATGTAGTTGAACTCCGCGACCTTGACCAAGTCGATTTCAAAACTTTGACAAACTCATTTAGATAGTTAATGGTAACATAAGTTTACTTAGAGGCGCGAAGACCTCGCTGATTCGTTTAGAGAGGTCTTATGGCTTGTCAAACCCTATTTAAGTTTAATGCCTTGCTTTTCGGCATTTTCAGCCGAGCGGCGTTGAGAATGTTCGCGACAAAACACTTGAAGCGAAGAAAGCGCAGCGTACCTTGAAGCCTCTGAAAAGGAGGTAGATTTCACGAGGTTTAACATCGATTGGTAAACCGCTCACAAACAGGGTCCGAACCTACAAGAGAAAGCATCAAAATGTTACAGACGCCTGGGTGTAGGGAACACTCTGCTACTTCTATCTGCGCTAACGCTAGCGGCATAAGTGCTCCAAACCTCGTCATCAGAAGTCGATTTTGCCTCCATGGCCCTAGTTGCACCTCACTAGTGCTGTGCGCAAGGCTCACTCGGCTCAGTGACAGTGTTAGTGCTTTAGGTGCAGAGGTGCTTGTAACGTGCAGTGTAACAACATGAAAAGCATTACAACCTTCTACAATATTAAAATGGCCTCTGCTATTCCCCGCAGCTGCATGGTACAACCAACAGGTAACTCTGCATGACGTAACAATTTTCTTTCCCCCGTGACATTCCATTGCTAGTTCCACGTGAAAGGAATCCCACCGAGACGCTTTAGTTGTCATGACAACAATTATATTTGTACAGGAAAACATTGTTTTTACTTTATTGGGTGTAAATTAGGTTTTAGTAACCCGTGCGCCAAAGGAAACTGGAGAAACTGGGTCGAGCAAACGGCGGCGAGGGAAACTAGGGAGAGCATGAAAACGAGGCTATAAGATGGTTGTTACAGCAACAGACACAATTTGCAAGCAAGTGGATCGAGGTCGAAGATATTCCAGAGTTATCAAGCATTTTCCATATCTGTATTGCACTTTTGCGGTTTGAAAAGCAGCCGTAGAGTTTCCTGTACAGTATTTCATTTATTTTTGCTATTTCGTGGTAGAATTATGGTAAGTATTGGTACCTTTGTCTTCTGTTATTCTGCAGCAAATTTATGTCGATATTTAGCTTTGATCGATGAAGTGATCGAAACGATGGTCTCTATTCTATGTGGCATTTATTCACTGCCCAGGTTGTTTTTGTATTATTTATACTAGGCCTCTGTGCGACGAATGAATCTCAGCCATGCCCAGCAGCAAAAGCTGCTTGCTGACAACAGGAGAAAAGAGATCGCGCGGGAGGATCAAGTAAAGCGAATCAACCAGGAAAGAATATTGGAAGCTAACATGGCCAGTGAAGAAAGAATAGAAAACAAACGGTTTCTGCGGCGGCTTCATCAGGAAGCGACTGAAAGAGAAATGGACGAGGGAATTAGAAAAGTAAAAGCTTCCTACTTTATTGATTTAAATACTCAAGTTTAGTTTTGCTTACATTTGTTCATTTAAGCTAAAATTAGTACATGGCGTTATAATGATGGTCGATGTGAGTGGATTGTTAGAGGACCTAAGATTTGAGCACGATTACGAGATCGAGTAGGAGAACGACTTTTCAATTCTAGTTTGCAGGCTTCACATTATCACAACACATACCCATTTCATTCCATAAGCAACCCTCTCTACCTAAAACCAACATGAAGAGCGAGGGTTCTGGAAACGTCGCTGGTTTGATATTCGAAAATCGTACTCGTACTCAATCTGGTACCCGTAGTCAAAAATCTAAAGGTCTCTATTGAGCAAGCGTGAGGTGAAGATCACTAGATATTGGCCAAGTTCTTTCTTGCCTGTCTATGGACCTTGGATGTCCATGAGCATGCAAAAATGAATGACTCCAATATCCAGCCATCTTGACTGAACAAGCTTGGTCAATAAGGATTTATTTTATGGCAGAAAGGACAAACTCTTCTTGCAAGGTACAGCAGGCAGTCCTGAGTGGGCAAGATATCCCCAACTTGCCTGCTGGGGTAGCCAATCACTGCATAGGATTTGGTTCATCTTGCCACTCGCAGAGCTAGTCACAAAATAATTAACAAATTATTCCACAAGTGTACATTGGATGTGAGATGATAGATAGCCAACAAGGCGGATAGCACCAATTGACAATAATCACCTTGTACCCAGCAAACAGGAATAAAGTATTGAGTTTACAGTTGAAGATCTTCTGCTGAACTACAGTAGGACTTCAAACCTGTATATTGAGCTTGTTTGTTTTACAGTGTACATGTTTACCTCACATAGCTCTGTACACGTACATAAAATAAATGTACTTACTCAGGCCAAGGGGAAGGATATTGATAGGGAATTTGGAATGAGTTATTGGAGCTGGGAAAGGTTTATTCCAGGAAACTCTAGCATTCCACCAGGATACAGAACTAACGTTATTGCCTTGGCTTTGAGCCATTCATTTTCAAGCAGTGTGTTTGGGGTCAATGTACTGTTTCCTTGGGTAAGATTTGGCCCATATTCCCAGTACTTTTTCGTACCAGGTGTACTGGTAAATTTACCATTAGGCTGTGGAGGGGTTAGGGACTTTGAAGTGGACTATTTAGTAACCCATCCATGAATGAATAGAAAGGCTACACTGAAGATAAGTCCAGGCAGCAGGAGTCAGTTGGCCTTAGGCATTAGGATACTGTGTGACCATAAATTTTTGCAGTTTCTAATTTTTGGGATCTTTGTGGTTTTTTCCATGATCCCTCATAACAGTTCCCACAAAAATTTTCTCCACAACCAACAAATGGGCTCAAATTTTTGTACAGCGACCACTCCCACTTTCTTTTTGCTGACTCGCCCACATTCCATTGGTGGTGTTGAAAGTTGACTATAAGCGAAGCTCAAACTAAATGTAGAGAACAGGAAAGAAAGGGATACATGTGTTAAAAAAAACTATAGCACATTTATCCTCTTCTTTCCCTGTTACCACCTTAAGTTTGAACTTTGCTTACAGTCAACTCACGGTAACACAAAGGAATGTGAGCGGGTCTTCAAAAGAAAGTGGGAGTGGTGCCATACAGTAATTTAAATCCATTCCACTGTTCAGTAATTTTCATAGTTCTTTTCTGCTGATGATGAAAGACTTTCATTTGCAAACTTTTAGTTGACAAAAAGCTTTTTTTCCTAGCAACAAGAGCAAAAGATGCTTCAACAAAGGCAGCAAGAACAGGAAGAAAGACTTGCTAAGGTTAGTCTACACATCAAATTTTGTACTGGTAGAGGTGACAAAAGAATTAAAAGTCTTGTAAACTCAGTCCATGGAATGACACAATGTATGTGTTCAAGCAAACTGACAAATTACTCCAGTTTGGTAACCTGACTTCAGTGTAAAATGATGTGAAAAGTATTACCAAACTATAGTGCACTCAGTGGTCACTGTGGAGTGTAGAATACAGGAGGCCAACTTTCTTTGGTTGTCATACCAATTAGTCTATTTGTTCCTTTCTCTTTCCTTTCTAAAGTAAAGGATAGTGGATTAATCGGTGGTACATACATGTACATGTAAGTTTAAAGTTAATTACAGCAGAATTTCTAATAGAATAGACCAATTTCGGTATATTAAAATTCAGCCTAAAACAATAGACCTCAGTACGAGGCTCTGTGGAATAAATACAAAGTTTGTGCCAGGGTTTGTTCCCCAGAGCCTCGTGCTGAGGTTTTTTGTGTTAGGCTGAATTTTGATATGTCGAAATTGGTCTATTATATACCACAGCATGCAGAGAAACTGTCCAGTAGCCTGGGGCTAGTGGATATTCCAGTTGGACAAGTGGATTCTCTCAATCACTTACCCAGTTGGAAAGTGAAGTTTCTTGGGGAAATGTTTGAGGAAACTCTAATTACAGATTGAAGTAGTGTAAGAGATGGACTTTTGGGAGGCAGTGAGAATGATTTTTGGGATAGTACATCGAAGTTAGAGCTTGCCCATTTAAGTTCGAAAATTCAGTTTCTTTTCATTTTGTCTCGGCACTAGGATGTACATCACATGAATATGTCTATGTCGTGTCAACAGCCTAGTCATACATTTGTGGATTCAGTATCTGATTGTATGATTGCATTGGGGCCAGTCAAATTAGTTTTCAGGTCATTTTGTGTTAAATCCCGGGTAACACTACATGCAAATAAATCCAAGTTTTTTCAGACGTAAGTTTCGTTGTAAACATTGTGCGTTTTGATTTGCTTTGCCTTAGGAGCTTGAACGGGTGAAACTAGAAAGTCTTCGGGAAGAAAAGCTCACACAGCAGATAAGAGAAAACAGGTAAAGATGACTTTTTTTAGCCCTTTTTTTATTCTTTTTCTCTAAAGCAAATTTCAGCTGAGTGGATGAAGTGCTGGGCTTGACGCACTGACGTATCACCAAATTCTCCCATTTACATTTTATTATGCTAGATCATTTATTTTAGCATTAGAACATGTAATAAGTATAGTTGTCTGTGAAGAAAATTGAATTAATTTTGTAAAAGTTCCGTGTAGGTTAATATGTTAATTAATATACTTTTCTTGATGTGTTACAAGATGACTATAGTGAAGTCTCCCGACTGATACAGAAGTTCTCTAAATTAACATAGTATTCTAGTCACTCATGTATGTGCACATTACACTGTTACTATGTTTTTGGTTACCTATAGTTGTTTCTATTGTAAGTTTTACATTGTATCTTTTGTAATCTTGTTGTAAATTATTATTACTATTTTTCTTTCTTTCCCTTTTAATATACACTCCTGCTGCCACCTCGTTTAGTTCTGGAACTACAATCCTGGCTAAAAGTCCTTAGGACACTTGACAAAATGACAACTGGTGACGCATTAAAAACAAAAAAAACAAAACAAAAAAAACAAAAAAACAAAGAAACAACAACAAAAAAAACAATGTTGGAATAGTGGGTCTACTTTGGTTGAATCAACATCAACATTGTGTTGGGGGTGGTGGAGAGGGAGTTGGACAGAAAGACCATATGTTGGCAAAAGTGCAAAGTGTTCCAAGACATTTGACCAGGATTGTAGTTCAGGGCTCGCTTATTCATTATTTTCCAGAAAATATTCATTTACTGATATTTTTTTAAACATCTGATTAAAGTGTTGAATTGAGGGAGCTTGAAGCCAAGCTAAAAGCAGGTTTCATGAACCGGGAAAGGTCAGCTCAACTGGCAGAGAAGCTGGTCATGGAACAAGACAGAAAGGTGTTGTGTTTGTATGTGATAATGTACCATTTTAAAGGGACAATGGTGATATTTTCTGGCAGTGATACATTTTCATATAACCTGCATGTTAATTGATTCTTAAAAGTTTCTTCCCTTTAGTTTTCTTTATTTTGTTCACGTGCAGAATTCAAGTCAGGATTTATTATGTAAATAATTTCAACAGGTGAAATAATATGAAGTTATTATAAATGATAAATTATTAATGCAATAATTTATTAATAATAATAACTCAATATTATTTGACCTATGTATTTGTAAATACTGTATTTTTAATAATTCAGGCCAACTTTTTTTTGCAAATTGTTGTACCAAATTTATATTAAAGTGACATGAAATGTGTATTCTTAGTTCCATCTGGAGGAAATTTTTCTTTCAGAAGCACAATTTAACTTGGCTCAATATACTCTATTTCAATCTCATTATTTTTTGTTGTTATTTTACTTTTTAAAATGTAGAGAAAGGATGATGAAATTCATGGTAAAATGCAAGAAGAATATCAGCGGGCATTGGAAGTGGAGAGAGAGAAAGAGAAACAACGTTGGGAAGAAAGTGTGCGTTATCAGGAGCAGCTTGAAGGGCAACTGGCTGAGAAGGAACGCCGCAAACAAGAGGCTTACGAGGAGTTCCTTAAAGAAAAACTCATGATTGATGAAATTGTGAGGAAGATTTATGAAGAAGATCAAAGGTGTGTGGCATGATGTTTGTTGTGTAGTGTAGGTTTCAAAGAACTGGAATTGTTAGAGATATTTTCTATCATGGTGTGGACTAACAGCTGTGCATACCAGAGTGCATATTGCACATGGCTCACTAGGGTAAGTTATAGATTGCCATAAATAAGTATTTTACTAGGCCTGATGTGGTACATTCTGGAAGTTCTGAATTTTCATGCAGATACTGCAACTTAACATGCAGCATGCAGTATAAAGTGCACTTATTAGTCCTTATTGCTCAACCAAGCCATTCATACAACAAGTTAATATATGGGCTCAGTTTTGGAAAATTATTAAACAACTTACAGCAATTGTGTTCCTCCAGAAAATACATATATCCATACTGCTTGGTAAAAATTGGGCATTTTCTTGGAACCACATGTCATGCTTGCTAACAAGACAAGGCGAGCACATCGAAATAAATAAAACTTGCGTATTTTATGTATCAGGGAGCTTGAAAACAGGCTGCAGAAACAAATGGCAACACAGAGGTACATTGAAGAGTTCAAAACAAAACGAGACGAGGTTGGTTTTCAAATTCAGTGAGGCATGATGTGTGTCATTGTCAGTGATTTATGTACAAATTATCATGAGCAGTACATGTTTAATCTGAGTAATTTCCTGGCTAAAATTAAATCACAGGGGTTTCATTAATGGCCTGGCACTGGGCAAATTGAATACTTGGTTTGACCATCTAGAGGAAAGGTTTTTGTTATTGAGAAGTTCACATCAAAAAACGTTTGCCTGCCTGTGAACCAGTTGCTCTCCTGCTGGAAAAGTTAATGAAACCCCCGAATCAATATGGGTGGAAAAGGAAAGTCAAAGCCTTATGTGTCTTATGGTACTTAGAGATATAGGTATAAAGGTATAGGTAGGTCCAAGGGGGAGGAAATCCCTTATATGGGCTATATAGGTATGTGTGGTCCCAAAGGGTGGGGTTTTTCAGCCATTTTGGTCATAAATAGGGTATGGTTTTAGCACTCTAGTCTTGAATTGGGTATGTTGCTCAGAGGAAGCTATTTTTCATCATTATCAATATGACCATCAACAAAAGCCCTTCATAACTAATGTTTAGGGCAACTTTGCGAGTCGCAACGGTCATAAACAGGGTATCAAATTTTTGGCCAGGTCATAAATAGGGTAGCAAAACTCGCAGATTTTGATCATAAATAGGGTAAGGGTTTTGGGAAGTGGGTCGCACACCCCCACCCAACTTTTCTGGGAGTACCCCCTGGGAGGAAAGTGTACTAGAGTGGTTTTCCATTGAGTGTGTAAAGCAAAACCAAATTTATCACTCTAGCCAATGACAATGGAAACAGACAATACAGTGAACTAATCAAAACTCTAAGTTATTACATATACATGTAGCTGACGGTTTTGGTTTGACTTCTGATCGGATCAAAAAGTGGCACAAGTTTTTTTAAGCCAATAGTGTAGCTTAGTTAATGCAAAACCAATTACTTTTTGACACTCAAATGAAAACTGCTCTAAACGTCAGTTGACAAACAGCACAAGACTAATTCTCTAAAGTTGGGCTGCATGAAAGAGGCAGTGCACTCATTATAAAGTAAACATACATGACCATTAGTAATGGCATTGCCTAGGTCTCAGTCTCGGTAAAACACATGTGCATACTTAGGAGATAGGGTGGTTAGATGAAAAGAGAAACAGTGGAACATACTGATTCCTTGATTTGCTAAGTGTACCATTTGACAGTTATCTTTCTCCACGTTTTTGCTCTTTAATCCGTAAGTTTGAGTTCTCTTTTGAACCATACAACTATGGGTGAATAAAAAAGACTGGGTAGAAAAAGTATGATCAGAAAAAAACCACAAGGTTTAGCAGCTTTAATTCACGTGTTTTTGTCCTTATTTGTCTTCAGTGGAAGGCACATGAGCGTCATCTTATGGAAGAAGAGAATGAACGTATTCTGGAATTCGCGAAAATACAACAACAACGTGAAGAGGACAGAATGGAGAAGAAGAAACAGCAAGAAGAAAGCATGGCGGCCGTTCAACAAAAGGTGAGAGCCATCACAGCAAAGTTAACTCAAGAGTTTGAATGATCTTTATAAAGAGACAAGCCAGAAGCAAAGTTAACTCAAGAGTTTGAATGATCTTTATAAAGAGACAAGCCAGAAGCGCTTTACCTCATGATACAAATGTAGCTAACCTTGATTAGCAGTCACTGGGAAAGGAGCCAGTGCTCTGGAAGAGAGCGACAGAAGTCTAGCCTACAAGATAACCATATGTGTGTGTCATGAGCGGTGAACACTTCCTCTTCACCTTGCATTTGTTTTAAGCAACGAGCATGAAAATTATCTTAGCTTCAATTGTGGCTTCAGAGGGTGTTTGGCGGAGTCACAGAGCTAAGATGTAGAGGAGACTGCTGCTGATAATTGAATGTCATTCGTCCTCAAAGTGAAGTTAAAACTAGTAGTCAGAGTTCGCCACTTACTGGTAGTTTTTCAGTTGATTATAAAGGGGAAGGTACCCTTTGGCGAAACCAGTTAAAAGAGTGTACTAAAACTTCTAGGTCCTACAGTCTGAGCTCATCTGTTTGAGTATATAATTAATAGTTTTATTCAAACACGATGCCTGTCTGGGGCTGGCTGATTTTTCACGTGGTAGGTGAACATGTACATGAACATGAAGACGTACAAGGTTTACTGGGCAAACTGAATTTGAATCGTTCTTGTTGTCTTTCCAGCTCACAAAGCAGATACAGGAGGAGGCGGAAGCTAGAGATGAGATGGAAAGGTACGAATACAAACTTAATATCTGCGTCATCTTGGCAAGTTTATGAACACACAATCAAACAAATGTGAATCATGCATGCACAAATAGTAACAACAACAAGAACAAAAACAAAACAACGGTAACAAAAGTTAACTGACCGCAATTCAAGACATTACAAATACGTTATCATCTGTTTCGCTATGCCGTTTCGTTTATCTTTTCTTTTTTTTTTCGCAAAAAAAATTAAGATTAAATACTACCATAACTAATATTTTGAAAACTACGGAAACAGGTGCAAACCCGGCACTTTTTTCATTTAGGAGATCTCAGAATTGCCGTTTTTTGCATCATCTTCTTACATGTACATAAACTGACAGTGTTAACACAAGGGCATTTGCTAATCTCTTCCTGATTGTTGCTCTGTAGAATCCGAACTGAGCTTTATCTTGAAGAACAAGAAGAAATGGAAAGGCAGAAGGAAAAGGTGAAAAGAACGCCGTTTAAATCTCGCCTTGTTTTGTAGTAATCGCATCTAAATATGACAGGTTTCATGAGAAGATAATTCTTGTTTTCTTGGGTGTTCAATATACTGAGCTCTGTCATTGGTTCGAAAAACTCGAGCAACCTGTTCAGCCAATCAGGCGTAAGCCAAAGTCAGCCGTGAATATGGGTTTCCCTTACTTGCTGTGGGTTGCACAGATTTACCGAGAGTTCGGATTGGTTCACCGCTGTTTGGCCTGATGTAATTTCTTTGACTTTGTTTTTACAACGAAGGTTAGAGAGCCTATTTCTAAATATTGTGGTAGTTACTGACTGAACCATCAGAACAAGTAACTATTCGGTGAAAAAGCAAGGTTTATTGAATAAGACGAGATTTACGAAGGGAAAGCGGTGGGTTTTTTGTGGCATTAATCGAGTATATTTAAAGACTAACTTGCAAAAAAAGGGACCAGGGTGTTATTTTCTTAAGAAACTACTGGGCTTCGTCGGGGGCAAGCTAAGCTGGGTAGCTGTCGTTTCGCCCTTCGTAAGAGCTTGGAGGAAGGGCTAATGCTCATAACATCAGCTTCAAAACTCGCTACGGCGTTTGAGTGACCTCCATCACCTACGAGTCATAAAGAGCTAATTGTAGCAAAAGAATGGTTTTCTTCCCCAGAAAATCTTAACTCTGAGACTCAATGGTTTCTACTTGTTGTCTAAAACAGTCAGTGGGTAAAAACAGGGACAAAGTCGGAACAACAGCAAGAGAAAAGGAAGACTTATACATAGTACGAATGCTGAGTAGTCAAATGACTGAAGTAATGAATTTTTTTTTGTTCTGTCTTCGTTTAGATGGCGATTGAAAACAGACTTCGTCAGCGGTTGGACTTGCAACAAACACGTCGACAGCAACTCCAGTTCAAGGAGGCGAAGCGACAGGCAGAGAGAGAAGAAGAGGATGAGTTTAGAAGAAAGGTACTTGTTGAATCCATCTTAAACCCGTTTCGTTTATCAATGAACCTTTGCCGTTGTTGTTGACACGTGGACTTAGTGTTATGATCACAAGGAGGTGAAAAAAATGGTCAGAATTTATTTGAAAGACTTCTTTTCTTTTGACGTGAAAAATCACGGAATAATTTGCTGAGTATCAGAAAGATTAGAACACATGCCACATGTTTTAAATCATTCACCCGTTCGTTCAACGAGAGGAACGACTTCGTCCCTCCCGAAAGTCATTTCCCATTGTAAAGGGTCCAGGAATCAGTTTAAAAAAGTTGAGGCTCCACTTTATGAAGGCGGGCTACATAAGCATTCTCATCGATGCTATAACATTTTTGTTTATTTTGATGATCATTTGTTTACACCAGTCGTGGTTCTTCTTTCAGATGCTTGAGAAGTTTGCCGAAGATGATCGAATCGAACAAATGAACGCTCAGAAGAGGCGCATGAAACAACTGGAGCACAAGAGGGCCGTGGAAAAATTAATTGAAGACAGGAGAATACAGTTCCAGAGAGAAAGGGTAGGAAGACGTTCTTTGTCCTGACGCTTTGGTACTGTGGCAATTGCTACGCTGTCCTTTTGTGTTTCTGAATATTTTGTTTTTCTGTTTACAGGAAGCGGAGCTCGAGGCTCGTCGTGAACAAGAGAGAATGGAGGAGTACAGGAGACAGATTATTGAACAAGAAAGACAGAGAATGCTCAAAGAACACGCTTCAAAACTCCTGGGTTTCTTGCCCAAGGTGGGTGTTTCCTCTAGCACGTGCACACACGTGTTTATTTTTTTTTCTAAGGGAATCTGCCTAACACCTACAAGAAACCCAACAAGGTTTGTTTTAAATCAACGACGCAGATGACAACTCGATGCCTTTGCGTAAATAAAGACCTCTTCCCTCCACCTTCCCTACTTCCCTTCCTTAGCCCCCCTCCTCCCCTCTCGCTGTGTCCCTCGTTCCCTCTCAACCACCACCTTACATGCAAATGTGCGTAAGGGTGCCTTTTGCCAGTTAGAGAGGGGCAAAACACTAGAATGTTTTATTGCTGCTATTTTAACATTTTTGCGCTTAGTCTGACACGCATGTGTCGTCCCTGCCAAGAGACTCATCAGAGACCTTTGGGTTGAGCCAACTCGTCGTACGTCGTGTTTACAGTGCCTATAGCATTTAGATTACAGTGGCAATATTCCTTAACCTTTTCTTTTTGTAGGGTGTGCTACGTGATGAAAGGGACCTGGAGTTGTTTGATGAACAATTTAAAGAGGCTTACAGAACAAGAAGATTGGATCACTTTGATGAAGATGACGACGAAAGCTATTAAAATAACTGAGTTTTCCAATGCCATTTTCAATTTAGATTTCAAGAGGTATTACATGTAAATACAAAAGCCTCAAAATTGTGTTTTTTTCGAGATATAGTGTTGGTACCAGTTGAAATGGAAACTTGATCTTTAGCTTGTCTTAAATGGTTGGTGAAATTAAGGTTTGTGGTTGAAATATGTAAACAAGATTCGACGTGTAAATAGCCGTGCTGTGTTTTTTTTTTTTTTAAATAAAGTTTCAACATTTGTCAATTTGTTTCTGCATGTAGCTCAGTAACCTTGTTCCTTGGGCCCAGTGTGCTTGGCCGTGAGAGCTCTCTCAGTGTTTTGATGTTGTGGTTGTTTGAGCTTGATTCGAATTGTTTTAGTTAGTTTAATGCCTGTTTGTAGCACATAATATGTAAGCACTGTTGAGGTGTATCAGAAAGCTTTCTCGTTCGCTGCGCTCACTCGTTCGGGTAAAAAATCGTATCCACGAATTTTCTATAGAATAAACCCATTTTTCGTTCTATGTCACTAATATCTATTCCTGTTTGGAAGGATCCGACCTACTTCCTAGTCATTCCTAGTTTATGTTATATTTGAAATATTTGTTTATTTATTTAAAAGTGTCCCCAATTAGCACATTAGTGTTAAATACATGGACACTTAAATGAAGTGATTATTATTATTATTATTATTATTATTATTATTATTATTATTATTATTCCAGGCAAGGCTCTATAATCATTCACTCTCGCGAAGAGATTACTGTACAACGTTTTAGACTGACTTGTCCTACCACTCAATTATTGAGTCAACTTATTTAATGCTTTTAAACTCACCCACAGCTGTACATGGAGACCGACAACCAATTCCGTTAGTGCAAAGAAAGTCTAAACGACTACTAAACAAGCGATCGTAAACCGTTACAAAAGTACATGCATGAGATTGTGGAAAATCAAATTATATCTTATCACAAGATGAAAATTAAAGGAAAGAGGCTCTTTAATAGATCAGTGCAAAGTCTGCGAAAAGTCTCGTTTTCCTTAGTTGTCCTCAAGCGCAAGAATGTTGGAAAAATGGAGCGGACAAAATCGTGGACGGAAGGAGTAAATGTACATGTAATAAAATTCCTTCTCCGGTCGGTCTCCAGTCCTCTCTCACACAGGATCTGAGAAGAGACTGCTTCAGTCTATATCCATCAGCTATTCTTTAATATAATGTCTACAAGCGGTAAGCGTTTGTTAGTTGTATGTGGTTATTCAGCATGATCTTTGGGTAATATATTTTCCGTTTCATTTATTTCACTTTCCGCCTGGCGTGACCACCTTTAGCGTCATCATCCTGTGCTGCGGGTTTGTCCGTTACTTCCTCTCTTTCAGCAGCAGCCGTTACCAATCCCGAAGCATTCAAATCCTCGCTGAAGGTTTCTTGTTGGAGTTGTGGTTGTTGAGAAGACGTAGCCACATCTCCCACCTCCTGCAGTGTTAGTACAAGCGACAGACAGCAGTCTGCACTGCAGTGAGGATTTCGACGCAGCGTCCAGAACTTTCGACCAAGGGTCACAAAGTACTGCACTGAAAAGCGGGAATGAGAAAACAGTAATGGTGTAAAACTAGAGGTGGAGTGCACGATTCAACTTAAGCAATCACAGTGCATGATCATAAGAAACGCATCTGGGCTTTAAAATGTAAGGTAATCCTGGGGGATAGGGAGACCAACCCGCGCTAAAAGGGGGTTACTGATTTTTGTGTAAATGACTGTACGATTTTCGACTTCAGTTGCCTTTAGTCGCTTAATGACCCGGGAACCCATATGTACTGACTCATTCCCAATCCGGTCTATATCTACATTCGTTGAAAATTATTCTCATCTTCTCACAGGTCTCCATGCAATTCAAATCTGTACAACTGTTGAAGGGACCGATTTGATTATACACATGTGTCCATTAGGATGATTTCTCTTGCTGAGCACGGCGATCCATTCCGCTTTTCTCATAACCTTTATGCTCAATTTTCTATCGACAGCTCAAGAAGAAATTACACCCTGGTCAGTATGTTTGGTTCATATATTTGTACCTGCTGTTACGGCGATAACTAGTGTGTTGGCTGCCACGAGCAGAACGCTGAGCATTACATAGTCTACTTCTTTATTAGCTGCTGAGGAGATAGCCTCGTTTGGAATCTGAAACGCAATAACAAAATGGCAATAATTTCACCAGCCTAGGACACGAATACAGCTAAGGGGAGTATAAAGGTAGGCAGACTAAACCAATAAATGAATAGAGGGGGTAAGTTTCTAAAGAAACTGTGGTCCCGCGTCGGTGGGGAGTATAACACGATAATTTGGTTTTGTCAACTGGGTTGATAATGTAAATTGGCCACCGTAAAGAGATTCAACAGCTAACGTTTCGAGCGTTAGCCCTTCGTCGGAGCGAAACAGGCGGATTCGCTCTGACGAAGGGCTAACGCTCGAAACGTCAGCTTTCTAATCTCTTTACGGTGGCCAATTTACATTATCAACCCAATTGATAAAACCAAATTAGGCTAAACCAATAGCCACCTTGTGGCCAACATGCGTCCGATGAGTGGTTCTATGTCTGCTCAGAAGTAAAGAATCTAGGGAATATGCAGTGCGAGTGACAAATAAATTCCACAGCGATCCAATTTTTGTGTTGTGAATTAGGCCCAGTTGACTTAGAAAAGTTTGCACGTATTAATTATCTTGCCCAGATGATTCTCCGGGGAAAGCTATATTATTAATACATCTGAAGGAGATTTTCTCGCCCAGTATTCTGCGAAAAAAATAATCATATATAAAAATAACTGGAATCCGTATGTTTGGCCATACCTTGAGCAACATGCCCACCGAGAAATTAACAGAGCTTGCCATGAGGGAGATCAGTTGAAGCCAATGCTCAAAGGAGTCCGTTATTGGTTTGTAGCAGGCAAACAACACTGTGTAAAGGCCAGAGATGATTGCCGCGGAACCAATGTAGGTACGACTCTGTGCGTCTGTCAGTAAAAGCGCTGAGGTGAGTAATACCTTGCGGGCCAATTCAACAATCTCCCAGAACCAACAGTTGTCCGAATAGTTTTCATAGAAGAATCGAAGTCCTCTGGCTAATGGATCTGGTTCTTTTTCACTGTTACCTTTTCTTGACTTGGAGAGACATTTCCATAGGATAAGGAGAGTGACGAGTGGAAATGCGGCTGGGTACACCGCGAGAACGTATGAAAATCCAACAAACCGATTATACTCGTCATCATGGCACTTGACGGAAAGAACCGCTTTCAAAAAGGCCTCGCATCCACTGCTTTTGTTCTCGCTGCAAATCTCTTGGCACGCCTGAGGCAGCATGGTGAAGATATGGGCACAAGTTGCTGGGTATGTAATGAAGAGCAGTAGGAATGCAGTTCGGTAGCAACGTTCCTTTGTTAGATCTATGGCACGACGCTGTTTGCGAACCGACATCTTACCACTTCGATACTGAAGAAACCTTTTTCCCTGATAGTAAGCTACTGGAATTGCTACCGAGGCAAAGCTGAGGGCGACCAACATAAGCAAAGTGGTATAAGAGTCGATTTTCATTGCGCTGTTAAGGCAGTGGATGGGAACGATTTGAAAAAAGGTTAAGTTGTAACATCCCCGCGTAGTTGCCGACAGTTATCACCGATTCAGGCTACTTGACGTATGAGAATGCGTTCAATGTTCCAGACGTTACTTGATAGAAGCTGACAACTATTTTGAGCCTTGCTAACAGAATATCTGCCACATATCTCTGAGCGTGTTCTTTCTTTCTGTCTCTTAAAGTAAGAAATGCCACAAGGGAAACAAGGGCAAATACGATGACCAATTGAACAGCAATCCAAAGCAGAGATGGGCATCTTTGGCATTTGGTGAACAATTTAAAATACCCTTGAGCGCACACGCCACAGAGAGGACCTTCATAGCCCTGGGAACAAGTAGAATCCAGGCTTCCCAAGTACGATTCTGCAACTGGCCCGCGTACGAAGCAGGTAACAAAGTCGAGCATTTTGTTAAACTCGAGTTGAAGGAATCATCAGTTATCTGTAGATTGTCTTTGAATGCAGTGTACATTTGTTTGGTATGATCATCTGACCACCTCCAATAAAATCCACTGCTTAGAGTCACTGTGCCGTTTACACAGTCGTAACCTCGAGGACAAACCACGCATGCACCATAGCGATCAAGACGAAGAAGAATGGCGCACGTAACTTTCTCGAAAACTCGTGCACATTTGTCTGTCGAAACTTGCAACAGAACAAAATAGAAGAACAGATTTTAAAAACTATGTATTTCACTCACAGGAACGCTAGATCCTTCAAATTGCTCAATGCCGTGTTTGTTATCTTTTTAAGTAAGTTTCCAGTCAGCAGCGTCCTGGTTCATTTTAATTTATAAGACAAATTACTGAACAAGGTAATCAATCAATCAATCAATCAATCAATCAATCAATCAATCAATCGATCGATC